AGTGTAAGGGGTCGAGTACCAACATATAACAGTTAGACCGTCTCAAACAAGAATTTGTACACGGTTTATATAAATATTGAAGTTCAAGTATTTCTCAATCAAAAGTTTTCCTTTTTTAGATGTCACTAATATGTTTAGATTTTTCACTAATAAATGAATTAGCAAAACCAATTAGACAACTACACAAGGCTAAAACAAATTAAATGTCCTCTGATTCCCTATGGTCCCCAAATTAATTTCAACCCACCATTTTGCTAATTTTCACGTGCTCACAAAAAAGGGAATCGAATTTTCATCACAAAGCCCATAAAATTTTCACAAAATTCTTGTTGAGTCAGTCTAACTCTTGGTGAGGTCGATTCTCGATATTATTTGAATAAAATTTCATACTTATACTATTAGTCAGCCTAACAAGTCGACCCTCCTTTCTATTTTAGTAGAAATTCATACTTATATTATCATAAGTATACTCCTCCTTATATTGTTTTTATTTTTCTTTATAAAATACAATAATTTATAATATAAATATGCATATTTGTAGACCTAACACAACAAGAGCAACCGAAAAAAATGCAAAAGATAAAACAATTAAATAAACAATAAAATGAAACAGAAAACCGAAAAAAATTCAAAAGATAAACAATTAAATAAACAATAAAATGAAACAGTAACCTGAATAGGCAGAGCATCCATATCGGCCCTGAGGGCCACGAACGGCGGCTCGCCGGTCCCCACCGCCGCCCGGACCCCCGTCCCCGCCACCGGAAACCGGTACGCCACCCCGAGCCCGTCCAGCTCACGGCGGACGAGCGCGCTCGTCTCGTGCTCCTCAAAGGCCAGCTCCGGATTTTCGTGAATCCTCCGCCGCACGCCACGGACCCACCGCGCGTTCTCCGGCCGCCGCGCGACCTCGAGGATATCGCCGGCGGGGTCTCGGTCCGGGCCGGGCTTCTTCAGGCCCAAAGAGGAGAGGTTTAGAGCCGTCAGAGCGGGCTTTCTCAGGGCCTCGAGGGCCGACGAGAAGTAAGACAGTTCGTGTTCGGCGGGCTTTTGAGGGCTTCGGGCCGAGATTTGTTGCGGCGGACCGGTGGTGACCGTCATGCAGGAGATTAGAGCGAGTGAGAGGGTGATTATGCCGAAAAAGGGCGATTTTTT